TCGGAGTGATCCTGTCATTAATTACACCGTCCAACATTCATGGTCACAACGAAAAAGAAAAGAAAAAAATAGTCTTCAGTTGTCAGAATGAAGACGATAGTTTATTTCAAAGTTTACTGGCAGATAATTAATTATTTTAAATTTATCTTTTAGTCTTTTTACTTTTAGCACGTGCATGAATATTTTAAGTTATATTTTTTAAATATTTTTGAGCCAAATCAGGTCGTAAACTCAGTGAAATAAAGCGCCTGACTCTGTTTTGAAGGCTCTAAAGTAAGCAAAAGAAGCTTAATGACTTGACTCGTACCATTAAAAAACGATCAAGCGGTGGTGGTGGGCACTAGGCAAAGTGTGACAAAGTGTTTTTCACACGGCAGCATCGTAATGAGCATCTTCTAGAAGATAGAAAACACTTCGCTCTGATTTTCAGAAAAAAAAGGTTTTCCAGAGTCCTGGATCTCCAGAAAACCTTCTGCAAGGTTCTGAAAAAACGTTTTCATTAAATTAGAACTCAGCATACTGGAAAACCTAGAAAAACAATTTTCTCACAAAAAATAGGCATCTTAAAGGCCATTTTAGCCTCTAGAAACCCAATGATCTCTAGAAAACCCAGTTTAAAATACTTTAAAGCTCTGAAAAGCACTCCTATGGAAAGAGCATATACGAAAGCCTATAAAAATAGTTTTTTGAGGTTCTTAGAATGCTTTAAAACCAAATGTCCATGTGCCTATCAAAAATTGCCCACTGTGCCACATGTCTGTCTTCTTCTTTTATCCTAGTTCAACTCCTATCTGTAGATGTCGATGAACCAGAAAACATAACAGAAATCACTGTACCAGAAAAAAAAGTGAATGCTACTTATGTGATGATCGATGAGAGGGTATAACGAAATGAAACAGAAAACAGTTAGAAGAGAAAAGGATGAGAAGTCAATGAGAAGAACAGCTATATTCTTCACATAGTAAATAGTATACATTGTTCGGTTTCAATCTTTCAACCTTTTATCAGTAGGTTTCAAACTCCAATTTTGCTGCACAAACTTCGAAGTGTCTCTCGAAGTTTGGAGAGACACTTGGAAAATGAAAACTAGGAAAATATGTGAACACATCATAGATGTCGTGCCTTGGAATTCGCCATAAAAGCGTTAAAAACCTTGTTAATCTTATTAACACAGCATTTTCTATTGTGGTCATTCCTATTTTCACCGGTGATGTATCCAGTGTATAGTGGACATCACTCAGAAGTCGTTCTCCTCATCGGAAAGTAAAAGGGGATAGGTTTGTATTTGTCATCTGGATTTGATGATTCTTCGTATTTGTCGTATTTGCCTTATTCTTTATACAAACATATAATAAAAACAAAGCTTTACAAAACTAAATATTAAAACATTAAANATTCCATAGTATGGTTTATTATTTGAAGCAAGCGAAATCTTTTACTGTGTGGGGGTTCCATAGATGTAGTATCCTATTATAGAATATATGAATTATCCTGTTAAAAGATGGCTCTTGCAAAATAGCAATCTATGAGAAATGCACCACTATTCTATTTTGGTACGTACTATGCGGGTTCGGTTATTTTAAACGGCAGCAAAATACCATGATCTCGTAAAGGTCTACAGGCAAGCCGTGTATGCAATGACATTTATTTATTAGAAAAAAGTTCTTGTCTATTCAACTGATGAAGTTTGCATGTTTAAGTTGACTTTTAATTCCGTCAATGCCAGCATTCCTAGAAGTGGTTGTCGAAGCTTTTTCACTGCGTAGATCATAACCGCTATTCCCACATTATTTGTTGATAATAATTTCATAAAGGAAAAGATTAATTGTATGAATTCAACAATGAGTTCAATCAACAATTGTTGAACTCATTCAATTAATCTTTTCCTTTATCATAACCGCTGTCAGTGGTCTTCCGGGAAATTCTATCACTGTCCCTGAGTATGATTTAAAATCTCTCGACGTTGTTCCTGATTTTATAGTGCCAATTCTTGACGGCTGTCCCAAGTTGAGGTGCATGACGTCTTCTTCACTCATAATCAATGTGGTAGCTCCGGTATCGACCAAAATTTGAGGATAATGTTTGAATGCCGGAGATGCGTTCGCTTGGAAAAAATCCACCGTCTGTTTCTCGTAATAATTCCACACTTTTATATCAGCATAAATATATTTTGGAATATTCGGAGTTCTAAATACGGTTTCTATAAATACGGTTGGGTTTTAAATGAATCGGTGTCTAGTATCGCACTTTATGGAAATGAATATTTAGCCATATGGTGGGAAAATAAATTAAGCAGAGTAGTTTAACTACATGTATGTATCGTCTGCAATCGTGAGCGTTATGCGATGGATCATACTCAAACTCTACAACAGTTATACATACCTGAGATATGGTGTCAATAGGATTAAATTCTGACCGACTATATCAATAGAAACTTACGAAGCACGAATGGCTGACATGCCTAATAAGGGTTTCTCTAAATCCACCACACTATGAACAACAATTTCAGCCGATCTCCCCATGTATTCGATTTCAGCTCCTTCATACACTTTGTAGGTCAACCCAATATCGCGATACACTCCTTCACCTACGCACATCAGTTTCAAATCAGCACACTGTTTATTGCTAATCACAAGCGCATCGGCACCTGTGTCGACCTTTGCCGATAACTGCAAATATGCCGATCTTTTATTACATAGCCGAACATTCACCCAAATGAATACTGATCCAACACCTAAAAGTGCACACATGAGATGTTCTACTATTTAAATATGTCATATATGTATCTTATACCTTCCGCTGCTGCCATGATTTGAATAGACGATGTTTAGGACGAAGAACAGATTCATATATGTCTTTTGTTTTAAAAATCAGTATAGATGGATGAATGATACGACAGATGAAATGTTGCCAACTATTTATAGCTTCAATTTCTATTCCTCTCCCAGATGCCTTCTTTTTGAAAAGGAAAGGTTGACGAGTATCTCGTTCATTGTTTTCTTTCATTTGTTTCGCCTGGAAAATTCTACGCATTATAGATTGAATAGGCAGTGGAAATTCTTCAACTATTTTCTCTCTTTCATTTTCACCAACTGCACATTTTTTTTTGATAAAGGCCATTGTTTTACGTACTGTTTGGTAGACGGACCCGATATACGTCGAATATATTTACATTAAAGCATATTGCAGATTTGCTACCACGTTAGTTGCCTACTTACATCCCGTTTACGTTTGGGTACCCAATTAACATCGGCGCCTATTAGCAGGAACAAGAAAATAAATTTAACATTGATTTCAAAAAATATCTGACAAGCAAAAAAAAGAAAAACACTACTCAAAATGTCGTGTAAAAAAAAAACAATGGAAAAAGAATCTCCTCTTTGAAACAAACTTAGAAGTAGTTTGAAAATGTTTTAGATAGCGCGGAAATTAAAGAAATAGTGCTGGAAAATCTGAAATACTGCCTGCTATTTGAAGAGTAAGTAATGTAAGTAATGTCCCTCCTTATCTTTCCAGAAGGCGTCTCGTAAAAGAATGCAAAGTATGATATTCGGCTAGAGCACAAATTTTTACCTATTTGGGGTGAAAGCAGGACATTTTTAATGCTTTTCCTTCGAAAAATTCAACCTTTTCAAACATACCTTCAGGATTTCATACGGAAATCAGGAAGTCATACTCATCTCAGATAATCTCTAGAAGCGGCTAATCTTTTTTTGCCGGGTCTCGATGCGCATCGATGCGAATTTTTAACATTCTTTCTGGCATCGGTGCGTTGTATTTTATAGTACCAAAAAGGGTTTTTTCTCCAGAATAAAACCCAAATTTGGTATTTTCAAACATATTATATGTTTGAAAATATTAAGTAGAATTATTTCTTTTTCGTTCGTATTTTACTAAATCGTTTTATTTAGTACCAGCGATTCCAAAAGAACGTGGTGTTAAAAACACACTTTTAGCTAGAAAACAAGACATCTCTCAAATTTCTACAATGTTCCTTTCAGATATTGTGACATAAACAAAAAGAGTAAAAACGCTAACGTACTCACTCCGGTAACAGAGTTGCGCGATTCAGCCGCATACTTAGTGTTTTCAGTGTTGCTTTTACTACTTTTAGATATTTAGATTTAATTTGACTATTCTGTTGATGCGAACATTTTTGGTCAAAAAGTCATCTTTTTGCTCTTTTTTGGTTTCAAGTGACAGCCAAAATGTTTTTTGTTTTTTACTTTTTTTATTACTTGTACTGGTTCACTTCCAGCTGGCAAAGAGTGAGCAGGATCCTTAGCAATTTTGTTACCCAACTTTCATGTTTAATTTTTTTCAATTATCATCAGATAATTCGGAGATTAATTCAAATGTTATTAAATTCTGAGGGAATGATTTCGCGTACGACGCAACACTTACGTGGTTCATGTTATTTTTAAGCGATAACTCGGAATAAAAGAAGTACAAAAAGTGTTACTCTGTCGATTGCGAGATTTTAAGCGATCGATTTTGCTTCTGATTCTTTACAGTTTTTAACGAAAATTCTGTAAGAAAGACACATAGATTATTCTAGCGATGAGCGATAAGAATGAAACAATAACAGGAGGACAGCTAGCTTAAACGGAAGTTTATCACCTAACTCTACACGGCTGTGTCATTTTTTAGCGACTAAGATTTTAAGTAAGGTGTCGAAAACTCAAACTTCTAGTAGAAAATTTTGGTTTTCGCTAATTCATACGTGGTCGGATAGAGTGCGATGAGCTGAGTAAGAAAAAGTGCTTTTAACTTTTGAAAAAAATTATTTTCAGTCGAAAAATTTGAAAAACTGGAAGGAAAAAACCGTGTTGCATTTTGAAACGACCACGAACTCTTTTTAGTTTCTTAGCCTAAAAAAACCTTTAAAAAACTCTTTTGGGTTTTTTTATGAGTTTTTTAGTCCAAAAAGCTCTTTTATTGTAGTTTATTAATCTACGACTTTTTTTTAGAGTGTACGCATGACCGATACCCGATCTATGTCTGTATTCATCTTCCGATTTAGAACTTCGAAGATGCGAGACATATGAATAGAATCTTGGTGTGAATGCTTCATTAGCTAGATGATTAGTGACCTTACTCATGATCCATATCTCATCTATGTGTGAACTCATTTTTCACGTCGGAACTTCAAAGATATGGGATATATGAATAAAGATATTATGGT